TATTTCCAGGGGCAACCACTGGCTGCTGCAACTGTGCAGCCACCCAGCTTCTGGCATGGTGAAAGGTGAGCAGCCTGGGACAGGCTGAGCACCTTCCCTCACTTTCCTTGTGGTGCTGGGATTCATGGATGGGTGTATCTGCTGAAGCCTCAGAAAGAGAAGGAGTTTGTGCTGGTGCAGCAGGGAAGGCACTGGCAGAGACAATCGTGTGTGTGGCAGGGGCTGGCCTTGGCCATCTGGACAGAGTTTGAGCTGGCACTGCCACCAAAAGGGACAGAAATAAATGAAGTGGGTGGGAAGTTGTGGAGGATAACCACAAGGCAAGAGCATGGGCTGCATCTGTCCACAACACCCACACACCATGGGAATGGCACTGCTGAGGCCTGGGAAACACTTCAGCATCCTGTGTGTCCCCGCTTCCTTTGTTTGTCCCTGCTGGTATCATTCCCTGTGAGCACTGACCTGAGCAGATGTAATATATTTAAGCTTCAGTCTAGCTGTTTGTACTAAAGAAATGTCTTTTGTGATTAAAGGTGCTCATTCTGTTATTGGTACTTGTAAAAAAAATTTCTGAACTTACTGTTTCTCTGTTTTTAAGAGTATCTGTCTCCCACAGTGCTGCTGGTTTTTACCTTTTAATTACAAGCAAACAAATAAACCAATCCCCAAACAATATTTATGTCATATGTTTTTATATATTCACTATGTATAGTAATACATTAAACCATTCTTATAGACTGACTGATAGTGGGTACTTGGTCTTTTAGTCCTAAAGCACAGTAGAAACTAAACCTAAAGAATTAGATGTAAACTTTTTTTTTTGTTTTGTTATATACATACCACTCCTCTGAAGCAGACTGCTCTTGTACCTCAGAAAACTGAGACATTAATTCATAAATTAGTGAGACGTTATTAAAACAAACGCCACCCTTTTCTGAAAGAATGAGGTCAAATTTTGAACCATTCAGACTACTTCTGCCTTCAGAAAATGAAATGTCACAAACTTCAGAAACTTAAGAAATTGTTAGCTTGAACTCCAACTCTAAGAAGGGGACATGGGAAAGGACCTTTCCCATCATCTCTTAAATTAATTCTTTAAGCCTTGAACCAGTTAATCCTGTCTTTATTGTTGTAGCACAAACTGACTCAATGGGATGTCTGGACTGAACCATAGGCAAGAATCTCTCCTCCCAACCAGAGAGGACTCCTGGAAGAGGCTCATGCTGGAATGCAGAAGGGAGTGGGCAAACCCAAGACAGTGAGGCATCAAGTACACCAGAGCTGGTGAGTAGAGAAATAAATTGGTGAAAATAGAAAAATAATGTTTCTCAGTATGATGGTAGGTGCTTTATACATATAAAACTTACACATGTATATATACAAAAAACCTCACCTTACCCAGAGCTGAGTTTTTAATTGCCAAGCCCTAGAGAGGTCACAAAAAAAAACCATGACAGAAGGCACAGAAGATGAAGATCATTAGCATGATTAGAGTTTAAGTGCAGGCAGGAAAATAAAAAGACCAGAAATATCTTGCTAAGAAATAACATGGTTTTCAAAGGAAGACTGGAAGTGTGTTTATTAGTGGAAAGGCAAAAAACCTTTACTTGTAGACAAAGACTGCCTGATGTGCTATCTTACACATTATTTTAGCAACACTACCGAAGGAAGATTTCCTGTGTGTCACCATCTTGCAAACCCAGGAGCTGCCTTTGTTTTGGGAAGAGGCAGGCTAATGTGAGATGCTGAGGCTTGGCTGAGGTGTCAGATCTGGCAGCCCTGTGATGAGGGAAGATCCTGGCAACAGAAAGCTGCCAGTGCCATGTTTGGGGCAAGCCCCAGTGCACTAATGCAGCCAGGTTGGCTCATGCAGGAGCAAGGGAGGTTTGCATCGTGCCCTGGCTGCTGCTGCTGGGTTTCCCTCCTGCCTGAGTGGCAGTGATTACAGGCTGCAGCTGCTAATTACTTCAGAGGGTGGCTGGAACCTTTGGGGAATCACAGCCATAGCATCTCTCTTCTGGACTCTTTGTCCTTTTGGTGTTTCCTGCTGGCTGAGCAGGCTCATGGCTTGCTTTCACCAACAGCTGCCTTCTTCATCCAAGCAGGTTGAAATCAAAACCCTGAACCTTGCTTGTCTCTACAGGCCTCTGAAAGAGAACAGTAATCAAAATCGATTTAATGTTCTTGGGCTGAATATCAGAACTTATCCTCAGAGGATACAATGTACTTGTTAGCCTCAAAAGCCACTTGAATGAGTGGATAAAACACAACAAAACCATCCCAAACCAAAAACCCGAATTCATAATCTGTAAACCTCTGGAGAGTATTAGCTTTTTATTGTTTCCCTATCAATAAAATGCAGGAAATAGTCCTAAATGCCTCGCCTCTACAACTTCCCGTTGTTTATCATATCTAATGTCCTTTCTTCCAGGCTTTTTGGTCTACTCCTGCAGACAGATTATGCAAACATGTTCTACAGTTCAGCATATGGAACAGAACAGACCCAAACTCTGTTCAATCAAATGCAAAGTGCTTTCATGTGCTGCTGCTTCAGAGTGTGAGCTCTGGGAGAAGGCAATGCACTGAACTGTATTATGAACTGACAGTATATAAACACCCAGGTAGTCTTGGAAAAATGGTTAATCAGTAAGTATTCACTGGAATTGGCAGGCAAGCACATTTTGCAAATGCTTGTTTCATAAATATTTATTTAAAAAATTGAGTTTTGGGAGTTTTCTGACAAAAGAAGCCATAAAACAGCGAAGAGAAACTTCAAGACTGAAATTCTTGTGTGTGTGTTGGTTTTGGGTTTTTTTTGTTTTATATTCCTTATAACCTCTTTTCTTCTTTTTTTCACTTTGAAATAACTGAAGAAACTAAAATCTACAAAAATCAGTCTCAGGCAGAATGCAAAACCAGCACCAGGTATCCAGAAGAATGAGTCAGTAATAAAGAAACCTACAGCTTGTAACCAAAATGCCTCGAGCTGTTTGCATTAAGTTATCTTGAATAAACTATGTGTTGTGTATTTCCTGAAGAGCATGACCAAATACTCACTGAAACCGTGGATCTCCAAGTAGGTTATGGCTAAAAGCCTGACTAATGTTTTATATGTCTTTTTGGTTCATATCCAAAAGGATGTTTGTTTATTTTTACTCATTTCTTACTCATGAAAAAAAAACAAAACAAAAAAAACCCCAACAACCCAGTGACCTTAAGTGGGGTTTATAATAAAGGATTCATTTTTCATTTTTTAGAGAGCATTTCCTTTAGACTGTAGACAAATTGTTTCCCGGCACAGAAAAATCTGTATTGATGTGGTCAAGATTTAAAATTTAGTAATGTACTTCCTCTACTGGGGATGTTCTGAATTTCTTCAGTGCAGTGAATCATTCTGGTGGTGGAACCAAACTCAACTTACTTATGTTGAATGGCAAAAGAACAACAAAAACTTTCCCAAATTTGAAAATATCACTGAAAAAGAATAAAAGCACAATTGTCTTCAGCCATTATGGGCTGCCCTAATTTGAATCACATGGGAAAATGCTTTGTTAATGGCTTTCTTCTTTTACTCTTCATTTGCAACAAACCAAACCAAACCCTTTTCTTAGTTCTTTTCCTTTATGCATTGCTTTTCCATCTGTTATTGGAAGAAGCTGGTCCTGTGAGTTAGCAAAGATTTTGAAGTACTAGAGATCTGGGGTCATTTCTACAGATTTCTACAACAGTCAGGGACTGACCACCTCCATTACTGTTCTGTAAAATGGGAATATTCCACTTTACCTCAGGAGGTTGTTGCTAGGAAATCTATTTATTGCTGTAAGATGTCCAGCTACCACTGGATTATTCATGGTATACATATAGTTTGTATTTTTCCTTACAAGTGTCTGCTGTGTAGAGTTTAAGCTAATAAGTCCCGATGATGATTTATGATGAGGAATTCACTCTTAAGAGGAACAAATTTGAATAGATTTAAATACATACATGTAAAAGAAATATGTGCAGCCTCCCAGAACTCTTTGAAATATAAATGTGAGAATTCCTTTAGGTATAGTGCTGGAAGCCTTCACGTCAGACCATATTGTCAGGTGCCAGGCAGAAGGAGCCAGCCAGCCAGACTGATTTATTCAGCTTTCTGCTGGAAGACCCCAAAGACTGCAACCCTCTATCACTCCCAGCCATGGGGCAGGAGGAGGGATGAGCTCCATTAATGCCTCCTTCATCTTTGAAACCCAAGCAGAAGGTTTATTCCTGTGTGCTCTGGACCTACAGTCTTTTGTCTGCTTTTCTAGAACAGCTTCTCCATGTTTGATATTCATTTTATTCCCCTCCTTAGAGTATTATTTACAACTGAAGAGCAGAATGTTATAGGCTGAGCTGACAGGGCACTAAATATAGCAAGAGCAGGGCAGTCCCCCACTCTAATCATCTCCTTCTGCTTTTATGTAGATAGTAAATGATGGGCCACAGAGGGAATTGCCATTTGTCTCTAGGAAATACATGTCAAAGGAGTTTAAGCACTACATCCTGCCCACAGCCAGGGAAGTTAATTTAGGTTTGACGCAGCAGCGCTGGCTTTTCCTAGCACTGAGGAGTTGCAGATGAGATCTTCAGTCCTTCAGCTGAGTGCCATAGAGACCGTGTTTTTGAATAGGGTATTTACAATGGCAAATGGCACAATTTCTAGCCTGAAGGAACAGGCAAATTTCAGCCAAAAACCGGTGCCATTCATTCACATCATCCCCCTTGCTGACCCTGTTGCCGACACACGTCTGTCTCGGCCTTGGGAAGCAGCCATGCCTTGGCCAGGGCTCGGCTCTGCCCCACAGGACCTGGGCCAGCCTACAGGCTGCTATTTGCTTTGTTTGTGCATTGGGCTCATTCCTCTGACTTGCCTCCCCTGAGCCAGCTGACTTGCCTGTGCTTTTTTCCCTCTGCCAAGTCTGCTTTGCTGCCTTCTTTCAGGTCTGGAGCTGTTCTGCTGCCTGCTCTTTTAACAGCTGTCCAAGTGCGCAGGAAGAGTTGAACCAACAGTAAAACCTCGCCAGCTCTGCTCACTTGGGTCCTACAACTTAAATGCAGTGCGCAAAAGTTTAAGCAGCAGCTTCGCTGATCGGACTTAGCCCTAAATCCACACAAATCCAAGGTAATCTGGAAGCAGCTCACTGCTGCTTTAATATCAGTGTGAGCCGGCTTCAGCCGAGACAGGGGCTGAAGGAGCTGGGAGCTGTGTGCGTGCCTTGACAGAGAAAGTTTGTGATCTAAAGGTTTCAAAATCTGCATAATGAAAACTGCCAGAAAGTTTAGTGCAGCAGTTCTGTTTCTCCCCGTGCAGAGCTACAGGGCACAGGTTAAGGCTCAGCTCCAAGAAGAGTGAGGTATTGCAATGCAAAGGAGCAGAGGAGATGCTGAGTACAAGGATATCAGTTAAACTTTCTCACCAGCCTAAGGGTTCTTCATGTATTTTATCCACTGGCTGACTAATGTAAAATACAAAAGTATTCTGCCTGGCAAGCCAGGAGCAGAACTGCAGTCTCCACCCTCCCAAAGGATGATTTAAATATGAAGCTACGATGCCATGTTATTCCTTCCCTTCTGCCTGCTCAAATGCGTTTTTAATTCTTTATTGCAAAGTAGGAAGGCACCAAAATCTCTCTTTCTTCAGGAAAGCCTCTGATAGAGTGAACAGAGACTTCTCCTGGGAACACCAGCAACTCTCCTCCTGCATTCCTTGGAATTAAAATCCCACTCCCTGTGTTCTAAGTGACCACCTAACCCTGAGGTACAGGAAGAATGGGTGTTACCTCCTCCCTAGCTGTGAGTTGGAGCACAGCACCAGGTACTGTGGTCATTTTTTACCTAGGCAGTCTCAGCAGTGACTAGACTCACCCAGTGAGCCAAACTACCAGCCTGATTGTACAGGAGTGTGGAATAGAGCAAAAGCTCAGCCTTAGTCCCCCAAGGGATATGAGGTCTTCATGGTCCATTCTGGACCTAGACATTCTTTGTGAAGTCACCATTCAGTAAGAATTCTCTTATACCCTCGTGAATGTACAAAATACAGATGATTATAGTGGTCCATCAAACCCCCAAACTGGACACCCTGTTTGCTTCAGTAATTATTATACAGGCAAAGCATTTCAGGGTTGCTCCTCCTATAGTGCTAAGGTCACCTGCTTTGGTGATTCTGCTGTAAGCTGTGTCCCAAGGCACCAATAGTTCCCAGTTAAAACACTGCAGATGAACAAAATGAAAGCCAATAAAAAATGGAAGAATTGTTGATTGGATATGTTTCCTTATTTCTGACACCAGTGAAGTCAGCCTGCTTGTTTAGAGGGTGAAACAGAGTACAAACTTTTTAATCCTCAATCCCAAATTCACCTAAAAGATTTAGGGCCAAATATTCCTTTTATTTACACCAGTGTAAATTTAGGGAAATTTCATCCAACTTAATGTACTGCCAGGTGGTGGATTTTGCCTCAGATCTCATTATTTTTGGGTTTTTATTTATATTGAGCCACTGTGTGTATACACAGATACAAAGCAGTAATTTTTGCCAGCAATAAGGGAGTGGAGTTTGCTATATAAATCGGTATTTCTCAGTCAATATGTTGCAACCCCTGAAGGGGTTATAAAAACCATCTGGGGGCTTGTAAAGAACTGAAAATTTTATAACAATCTAAAGCAAAGAAAATGTCATTTCTTCTACTCTCTATAGAACAGCACCATTCTTTTGGCAACCTGTCAAAACCATACATGAAACAATAAATTCTTTAGGCTTATCACTTTTACCATATTTTTTTTTTTACTTTAGCTTTATAAAACATGGATGAGAACTGGGAAGTTTCTTCTTTTTTTCCCTTTTATGTAGGATTTCCTATCTGAACTGCTTGAGAAATGCTGCTTTCAAATTTTTGGCCTCAAAAGGCAGTAAATTTCTTTAAAGGCCTCCGCCTTGGTCTTCTCCTAACCTGCTTGTTAAAACTACAGCCTATTTTGTCAAGCTTAGGCTTGTTTGTGTTGGAGCCAGTTTTTCTATTTCACTGTGACTTTCTGCCTGTCAGTTTCCTCTTTCAGCCTAAATCATACAGGGGAACATCAACATTTCCCTTTGTGGGAAGAGATGTTTTGCATCAAGTGGAAAAATGGATGAGATTTCCTGTATCCTCATTAGCAATGTGGTGTATGGTTTGAAATCTGCCCTTTCTAAGGTGAGATACCATCTGAAGAACCTCTCTGCTTTTAAGTATAGCCTCACAGCACATACAGCTTGTCAGTGAATTTTGCTTTCATGTATGCATCTTTCATCTCTGTGCATAGGTACTTATCTATGAAATTAATTCTAGTAGCGACCAAGTGTGGCCCACCTAAAGGAATCAGAGAATAAATTCAGAAAAAGAGGCTCATTGTTGTTTTTTCCCCTGCCAGGATGAGATGCCTCACACAAGGACTGGGCAGGCAGCAGAGCTGGTGAGGCTCTGAGACCCTGAGCAGGGCAGGGGGAAAAGGAGGGGATGATAGTGCTCCCCTTTTGGCAGCTGTTCGCTTGGGTGGGTAAATCTCAGGCAGCTTCACCTCAAACTCCTCTTGACTTCAGCTATTTTTACCTGACTTCCACAAATTAGTTCTTTGTTGATGCAAAGTACTCAGTAGGTGTGGTGCCTCACTCTTTCCAAAAAGCCTGGCTTGTTAATTGTTTAGTGGGGACAAATTTGATCACTAAAACCACTTGCTAAGGAGAAGGAACAGTGACTTCTTGCCTGGGTGGGACGTGGTTGCCCACAGCCAGGAACTGAATGAGCTGTGGGTGATGTGGCAACAACTAAGGGGAGGAACTGCACTTTTGGCTTTGACTCTTTAGCTTCAGTTTCACTGGACTGGAACTGTGCTGTCCAAACTGGATGGAATCAAAACCTGGACAATTTCATGTCATTTGCTTGGAACATAGCTTCCTTTTCCCTGTCCCATTTCTACTGAAGACAGACTACAAAGCCTGCACGTGCAGAGGCTGGGTTCAGATCCAAGCTGAGGGTGTTTGGGGGCTTGGATGTTGGCTTAGGTCTTCAGAGTGTCAGAATGGAACCAGGCTTCCTGCTCCAAGTTCTGAGGTCAGCTAGCTAGTCAGCGTCTAGCTCTTCTGCTACCTTTCCATAAGCCAGATTGTACCAAAATGCTCCTAAAATCATTCAGTGGTATTTTCCCATGTGCTTTTCATGATGCTGAGTAGTTGAGCAGGAGATCTAATATGGTCTACACAGCTTTCTGCCTTCATGCCTGAGAGAAAATGGATACCCAAGGGTTGTCTCTGCTAATATAATGCAAAAGGTGGTTGCTGGATATTTTTGTGGGCTTTTTGGTTTCTTAATTAATCTCTATTTTCAATTCAGAATTAGATCTGCGTAGAAATGATGGTATGAAACATTTTGGGAAAAGAAGCTAAGTTATAATTAAAATTTTAAAATCAAGCTGCTTAGTAAATAGCCTAACAAATGTCCACCTCAGCTGGTGCTGCCCATGAAGAAACCATTCCTGCACAGCCCAGCCTTCCAGCACCAGCACCTTATCTTGGCCTAATTCCCCGTGCCCTGGCTGAGGCTGAGCTCCTTGCCTCTGTGCACTGCCTTGCTGTGCCACCTCTCTCATCCATCCTTCCATCATTTTGGTTTTGCCCAGGCACAGGGCCCCTGCACTGAGAGAGCCACCTTGATGGGCACAAAACTCTCCACAGTAAAGACCGTCTGCCCTCGCTGCTGCTCCGGCTTGTGCCAGGAGATGGGCTGTTTTGATTTTTTTATCCAGAGAAGTCCAAACTCCTCAGGGAAGAAATGTGGCTTATTGCATACTCATCCTGTTTCTTCAAAGCTGAACTGTGCCATGCAAGAAAATTTTTTGGAAACCAGGAGCAGAAACAATGACTTAACAAGGCAGTGCTGTCCACTGCTGCACCAACACACTGAAGTTGTCAGCACTACTGTTTTTGTACAAAGAATGGAAATTCCTTCTTGTGCTTTATCAGTCAAGAAGTCTAGAGCTGCCAGTCAGTGTTAACATGTGTTTTCCCAGGTTTACACTTTTGTCCTGCCGCACGGCTCTGTACCCGTGCTATTACTCTGGAGCAGCAACTTCCGTCCGTCAGATCCCTCAGGTTGTTTGTTAACACTAAAACCCCAGTGCCACACAAGGGATGGAGGTCAGAGGCTGAGGTATTTCCTCATCCCTTAGCGAGGATATGGGTGCGGTGGGGAGCACTCGGGGACGCCTGGCTGCTGCGGGGAGGTCAAAAATCCCGCAGCCTCCCAGCACGCCAGTGCCGGGAAGGGGCCGCATGGCGATGGCCTCGGCGGTCTCTGTCCCCTCACCACCCTCTGGGCGTCCTGCTCTCCTCGCCCCGTGGGCACCTCCACCGCTGCCTCGGCTTCCCCTTCTCCCCGACACGGCTGGTGCGCCTCCCGCTGCGCCAGCGGGGCTGGGGCGCTCCCTGGGGATCCCCGGGCTGGGCGATGCGCTCCGGGTCACAGCCCGCTCGGAGCTCAGCCGGAGCACGGCCCCGAGCTCGCCCCCCGCCCCGATCCCGCTCCCGGCCGCGGGCAGCGCTGCCCTGGGCGGGCCCGCGGCGCTCGGCGAGGGGCGGGCGAGCGGGCGGGGCGGCCGCGGGCCCTATAAATAGCGGGCGGCGCCGTCTGCTCCGGCCGAGCGGCGCGGGGCGGTGGGGCAGCGGCGGCCGTGGGCAGCAGCAGAGAGCGGCGGGGGAGGTGAGCGGCGCCGCCGAGCGCCGGGCGGGCAGAGCGGGTCCGCGCCGGAGGGGCGGACGGGAGGGGACCGGGGCACCGGGCGGAGCAGCCGGGGCACTCAAAGTTTGGCTGGTGGCAGCCCGGAGGCCGAGGGGGTCGCTCCGGCGGCTCCTCGGTGTGCGTGTCTCTTACCTGCTCTCACAAGTTTCCCTGCGCCGGGTGTGCGGGCACTGTGCCGGGAGCGGGGCTTCTGGCGCGCTGAGTTTCTTCTGCATGTTGACTATGGGAAAGCAGGGAGGATTTTTCCCCAAAAGAAGCGGGTTTTAAGGCTGGCAGCCCGCGGGGAGCAGCATCGCTGGCGCGGGAGACGCTTCGCTCCCGGGTGCGGGAGA